AGCACCATGGGCCGTTAGGGACCTGCACATGGCTGGCACGGACGGTGGGTGCTCGCGGGATGGGCGGCACGAGCAGCGGCACAGGCATCACCAGGGGCACTGCCGTGCCCCGGTGCCGGTGCCATGCAGCCCTCAGGGCTCAGGGCTGGCAGTGGGGCTGGCTTGGGCTGGCTCAGGCTGTCGGTGCATCGCTGCCAGGGGCTGTAGGGGACTATAGGGGGTCCAGGGCCCCCGGTGAGCTGGCACAGGGCTGTTCTGCTGTGCCAGGGCTGCCACCAGCCACAGACCTGTCCCTCCACAGGCAGGTCACTGCTGTCGCAGCACAGTGCCGCAGGGTGGGTGGCACTCGGGGCTGGGACTATGCTGGGGCCCCAGGAACTGGGTGTTGGGGTGCTGCTCCAGCAGGGTCCCATGGACCCAGTAAGCTGGGTGTTGGGATGCTGGTCCCATGGACCTGGGGAGCTGGATGCCAGGCTGCTGAGTGCTGGTGTGTTGCTGCAGTGGGGTCCCAGGGACCCAGGGAGTTGGGTGCTGCGGTGCTGTTCCTATGGACCTGGTGAGCTGGGTGCCGGGGTGCTGGTCTGGCAGGGTCCCATGGACCCAGGGGACTGGGTGCTGGCATGCTGCTCCAACAGGGCTCCCAGGGGTTCCCGGGTGGGGGGGCAGTGAGCCGGCCACCCTACCACCCCCATGCCCCATGAGCTGGCAGGGGAGCGGTGGGTGGGGGGCTGCTGGCAGTGGGGCTCTTACTGCCCGCCCTGCCTCCTCCCAGGCACCAAGTCCTTCAACATGATCTCCCCCACCGGCGACAACTCGGAGCTGCTGGCTGAGATCAAGGCTGGGAAGAGCCTCAAGCCGACGCCGCAGAGCAAAGGCTTCACCACCGTCTTCTCCGGCAGCGGCACGGCCCGGTCTGACACGCAAGGCGCCCCCCCCCCACCCCCCCCCCCTTCTTCTACAGGCAGAGTCGCCGGTGTCCTCCCCGTCACCCACCAGGACACCCACCCCACCGGCCACCCCCGAGGCTGCCGGGCCACCACGCTGCCTGGCAGGGGGCTCGCCAGAGCCAGTGCTGAACGGGAGCTCGCCAGTGGCGGCGGTG